GCTTTGAACACGTAAGTACAAGTAGATCTATTAATTATTAATTTATGTCGTGTCGGTGTATATATTGTTAAACAATATATTATGTAGGATGTAGAATTATGTTACGTTCTGGATTTAAGCTAGTAAAGTAGAAGGAAGGATCAAATTTCACGCATAATGTAATTGCAATAACAATTTCCGTGTGTGCTATGCATAATGAATATATGCACTCACACACGGAAGTACTATAGTTATACCACTATACTCACGTATCTGCTGTTTGTAATTAAAGTCACATAATGCATCTTTAATTAATCACTATTACATCAGAACGTTTCATCAAAGTAATAATTATTGTAACCTCTGAAGATAGGAAGAAATGAAAAAATTGGCTAAGAGTAATGTAGACTCGCACAAGACTTCTTATATCATATTTTACTAAACGACAAAAAAAATCTTGTTTCATATTGTTGGACCAGGCTCATTAATTATTTTTTAAATGAGGTTAGAAAATAAATACACACTGAAAAGTTCATCTGTGAGCGTAGTACAGATGCATTAGATACAGCCCGTTACGTTAAGACGTACGTTTGAAGGAGGCTTAATAAGTTTAGACATGATTTACATTATATTTTAAAATATAATTATTTTAAATTTAATTTTATGACAAGTTAATCTTTAAATTAAAAAAAAAAATATTAGTTTTAAATTTAAAGATTAATTTGTCAAGCTTTTTTTTTTCAATCACTCCAGTGTACTCGTAGAGGTACTCCTTAGCTTAATGCAGTTAAACATATTAAAAGTCTTGTATCGCACACAGTTATTGGTCTTCACTAATTTGTTTTAGTACATCCTAGAGTGCTTTTGATGACTGTACTTCGAGAAAGACCTAAAAAAGATAGTTACCACTCATTACGTACACATGGTACCTTCACAACGAACCAAATAAAACGTTTTAAAGTGTTATTTCTAAAAACTTCTATTCTATTCTTCTATCTAAAACTTTTTACACAGACTGTACGGACAATGTTTTCTGAGCAAATTTGTAAGAGCTTATTTAAAGCCAAAAGTTTTACTTTCTCGATAAAACCTGGGTCTCGCTAATTTTTAACGTACGTATATAGGCTCGCTTTGCTGAGTAGCAAACTCCTTTTTGCGTTATAAACTTGAGCTTTTATTTTTTATCTGCGCACAGTAGCTAAAGAAATTCCTAAAAGTGTGACTTTAGCAAGGTATTTAAAAGTTTTCTTAAAAAAGTTGAAGATGTTTGTTCAGGAAAATTATGGTTATAGATAAAGTTTAAAGGCTTTTTACAATTTCGTTTTATTTAGAGTAGAAGTAGAGGCATCTATAACATAATATATTATTTCCAAACGTAACTTTTTCATTATGTTATTGTCTAATTACTAATATAAAGATTGAATTAAAAAATTAAATTTTTCAATGACTAGAAAAAAGTTGACGATCTTCAAACGGCTGAACAGATTTTCTTGCATTGAATAAGACATCTTTCGATCAAGTCACCTTTTCAAACATAACAACTAAATCTAGATCGGTCCATTTGTTTATCAAAAATAATTCCACAGATAAACAGACACGCTTCTTTTTTAAACCTGTTAGCTTTTAACACTTTGAAAAAAAATCAATCATTTGAATTTTTGTCCGAATATACATTTATTTTACTATATATCCTATAGTTGTGGCATAAAGAAAACGAATAATTTTGGAGTAATTTACCAACAAAATGATAGTTTTCAAAGATATATCGAATATGGCCGGACTGTAATCAACTAATACGGGATCACATTTTGGAGATTGAACCGAAACTTGCAAATCGTCAATGACATTAGATTCACATCGGATAGGGCAAGGCTTATCGAGATTTGTCTCGCTTCTATCCGACGCCGTTACTGCACTCGTTCTTATAGAAAAAATAAATTACATCGCTTTGGTCTTAAAATTAAATATCTTCTATCACTTTTGAATAGTTATTGATAAATTACGGACAGGTTGACAAAAATTAACATCTGATATTTTAAACTATTTTGATAACGATTTTGACTACTTTTATTTTAACTACTACTACTTATTTTTTATGTATTCAGAAAATAAATAAAATCCGGACAAGTACCAGCCGAACTCGTCCACCAAGGGTTCGGTACTATTTCTACAATTTCACTAATAAAACATGAGCGTACTTTAAATAAAGACTATATTTTTTATTCATTTATTTACAAATGTACAACTTTCAGATTTTTCCCTGTACTAGTAGTATAAGACGATATTACTTGCAAAATTTCATAGTTCTAAGTCAACGGAAAGTACCCTATAGATGTTAATTCCCTTGAGAGACAGACGGACGGACGGACAGACAGACGGACAACAAAGTAATCTTATAAGGGTTCCGTTTTTGCCTTTTAAGGTATGAAACCCTAAAAAGATTTTATTATCGACCATTGTTAAAGAAAACCACTGTTAAGCAATTCTTTACCCCTTCCCCTAATTCTGGGGCTGGAAAACACGGCAAAAGTGGCAAGGGATTTTTATTTCTTGAGTTGCAGGTGCGCACTGGCGACGATAGTCAGGTGACCTGTTTGATCGTTTGCCCCCAATTTTATAATAATAATAATAATTTCGAAAAAAAATATATCGCTCGCCTTACATTAGCAATACATTATAAACCATTTATCTTAGTTTCACGGTGCAATCGATTGGAGCACGGAAAATCACTTAGTGGTCATGAGTCATTAGCCACCTCGGTTATGACGTCATCCCTTATGTTAGCTAGAATTTGGCCGATTCGCCGTTCTAAATGAATTTTGTGACATTCGATTTGATACGCTCCAGTTCAGTTCGTTCCGCATAACTACGAGCCATAGCCAACCGTAAGTAATACTGATTTAATGTAACTGATGCTAACCTAATGCACGGAAAAACTCGAATGAGTTTATGCGGCATCTTATTGTTTAAAATACACTCGGTTCCAAAAATTACGGGTCAGTCACAAAAATTGAAATACCTCCAGTACTGTAAAAGTTAGATCAATGAAATAAAAAACAGAATAAAGACTTTTTAGTTGCGCTTCTAATAGCATATTATTTAAACTGGTTGATGAAAAAAACTTCATTAGAAAAACAAAATTTAAAAAAATGACTATTTTTAAAAACAAAATTTTTGTTTCATTTCATTATAGATGCTTTCCATTTCTATTCTGTCACAAAAAATTATCGTGAACGTCTTCCACGTGCATAATTCTTATTCTGTGAGGTGAAGCATGGCAGTCACGCGAGAGGAATGTACCAGAATCCTAACTTTTTTGGAACTTGGGCGGAGCCAGCGTGAATCAGCCAGAAACATTGGTGTATCTTTGTTGACTGTTCAGCGGGTAGTCCAGCGGTATCAACAGACCGGATCACACCTTAGTAGACCAGGAAATGGCAGACCCAGATGCACAACGGCCAGGGAAGACAGACAACTGGTGGCTACAATGCTCCGAAATCGTTTTCAAACTGCTGTTGGTCTAAAAACTTACTTTATTCGCTTTGGAGGTGGCAATTTAAGCGCTCAAACAGTAAGAAGACGTCTTGCTGAAGCAAATTTGAAACCATTGAGGCCCGCAAATGGCCCCAAACTGGAACGGGGACATCGAATTGCAAGACAGAGATACGTGCGCGAGCACCTAAACTCGACACTAGACGATTGGTCTAGGGTAATGTTCACGGACGAGTCTAAATTCATGCTTTATAAGCATGATGGTAGGCAGTTGGTGTACAGAAGACCAGGGGAGCGCTTCCATCAAGCGTGTGTGGAGGAAAAAGTGGCGTACGGTGGAGGCTCCGTACAAGTTTGGGCTGGGATTTCTACTGAGGCCCGCACCGAGCTGGTACTCATTCAAAATGGAACTCTAAATGCAGAGAGGTACGTGGAAGAGATCCTCAATGAACATGTAGGTCCTTTCATGGCCAGGATGGACCGGCATGGCATATTAATGCATAATAATGCGTGTCCCCATACCGCCAGAATTGTACATGACTACCTTGAAGAGGTCGGTATCGAACTCATGCAGTGGCCAGCGCGAAGCCCGGACTTAACCCCATCGAGCACGCCTGGGACGAGCTTCAGAGATGCGTGAAAGGGCGAAACCCCCCACCAATCACGCTTCCCGAGCTCAACCAAGCACTGGTGGAGGAATGGGAAGGTATTCCTCAGCACCGGCTCCGAAATTTGGTGTACAGCCTAATCGCCTGGAAGCTGTCAGAAGAGCTCGTGGAGGCAATACAAAGTATTAAATGAAGAAAGTGATGAAAAACAGCAAAAAAACAATCATAAAAAAATGTAATCTTAAGAAAAATATGAATACTTTAGTTTTTTTTTAATTTAGAGATAAGTTAAGAGTTAGAGAGTTTAGATTTAAGTTTTATTTTATTTTTTATCTGTATAATTAAATTCTCAATTGAACAGTCTTCGTTTCATTAGGATGGCATACGTAGTTCGAGAGATATTCGGGTTTATGTGACTGACCCATTATTTTTGGAACCGAGTTTAAATAAAAAAACAAAAAAAAACTGTATTTATTAAAGTTATTATATATACTTAAATATGTCTTTATTTTTCGTGTTGGCAATACTCGGTAATTTCAACCTATCAGTCGGTATTTATAGAATCTTATTGCATTTGATTGCCCAGTTCCTAGGTAAGGTATATAACCAACATTATTCTATAAGTTGTTGGCTAGGTGTGGTTAATTGTTGACATTGAGTTCTTTTTTATTTTTTACCCATATTATTAAACTACATATTATGAGTTTTCAGGTTAAAATTTAAAAAAACAAATATTTCGTGAAGCATTTGCAAAACATACATTGGACTCTTGATCTATATCTCGATTTTAGGCAACTGTAGCTGTAGTTACAGATATCTAATAGATTCATCCAAATGTCACGTTTCCCTTTTTCTTCTTTTCACGTGTTGATATTTGGATAAATATTAAAAATATTCGAGGCAAGGGTGAGATAACTTTACCTGTTATGAGCGTGGAAGGAAAGCCTTACTGGCGGTGGAGGGGGCGAGCGCGCGGGTGGTGCAGCGCGTCGGTGTCGGTGAGCGCCCAGCGGCGCATACGCAGCCACCTGCCAATGCCGCACGAACGGTGACAGCGACAATCCTGAAAGTTAACCTTCAATAAGACTTTGTACAAGAAGAGAGATTTAGTGATGCCCTTGATGATACCGGTTATCTTAACCTATATACTATACCTAGATTCTGTGAATGTGAAAATGAAAGAAATTTCCTATGCAGGTTTAGTTGCCATGACATTTTATCTTTATGATAAACACCTGATTTCACTGTACACCAAAAAGCGTCTACCCAGGATTGGCTCTGAACAAAATAATTCCAAAACAGTCATTCCTATAGAGACCAATGTTTCAATGTAACGTGTATCATTAAATTATGAAAATTCTCAGTCCTAGAGTTCACGATGACCTGGCTGCTGAGCCTAAAATCGGGTCGAGCCTACAGACGAGAGAGGTATTTACCGGTTAATCATACAGATACAAAAGCTTTTATACGTATTTAATTTATAAAGTCTGTTTAAAATTTTATGTATTACATTATATTATATATGTATTACATTATACATTATATTATATTATTATTATTATTATTATATTTACACTTACCATTCAATTGTAATTATTACATACAATTACATTAACACGTACAAATCGATAATAAATATTACTTGCATACCATAATACCTTTCGTATTTATTGCGTATCGATATTCAGATTAATTTCCATAAAGTTTAATTTAACAAGACTGGTGTCCAATAGCTTACACTTGCCTCTTGCCGGGAAATATGAGTCTCAACGTGAACGTATCGCAAATCAAGTTCGCTATATTGCCTGGAACAAGTTCCTTGGAGAGTTGGCCAGGATTTACATATGTTAGTCTGGAGTAGGGTTGGGCGTAATTCGTGAAGATTTTAGGGGGACAATTTATACATATAAAGTTACTTGCGCTGACTAATTTATTAATTAACGCAGAGCCTAAAAGCTGTTTTTTGTACTGTAAGCACCCACTTAGAAGGTATTTTTTGAAAATTTTCCTCTAAGGGGGTAAAATATGGGATGAACAATTGTATCCAAGTTAGTCGTTTTCAAAGCTACAAACATGAAATAAAAATATAATCATGCGAGCGAAGCCACTGGCAATAGCTAGCATTGGATATTCTATGTGTAACTTTAATCATTTTTGTTATAGTATTACACTATAGGTATGGTACTGGTGCGAAGATGTGTTTTTTTTACCTATCAGAACTTAACCACAGCTAATTGTCAAAGTAGTTTTATTTCTCACCTCAAAATAGTATTATATTTTATAATGTGGTTTATAAAGACAGTTATCACAGTAAATGCGCCTTACTTTGAATACATACCTATATACATATACTCGTATGTAACTAACACATTTAGGATTTAATATGCTTTTATTATTTGATAAGATCTGTTTAATTTAGTTCAGTACATTAACATACATCATTATGACTAATATGTACTTATACCATAAAACATACAATCCATTATTGATTAACAGCTATATATTATTTATAATTAATACAATAACTGTATTACATACTCCAAATTATTTAATATTGAATTCTCTTTCCGTGTACACTCTGCGAGGAGGTGCTGTGTCATCTGGATAAAAAGATTCTTCGACTTAATTCGGCCTAAACCGATTTTATTTACTTTATTATGCACTCTTATACAACGGAGGACTTAATGCCCAGGGCATTCTCTTCCAGTCAAACTTTGGGTGGTGTAGAAATCGTTAGTGGTAGGTGCACATAGGTTGCTATTCAACTAAAATATGCACTACACAACACTACATGCATAGATCCATATACACAACATTTATATATATATATATATATATATATATATATATATATATATATATATATATATATATATATATATATTGTATATATAGCAATGCCTCGCAACCATACTCAAATACTCAAGGAAATTTGTTTGAATGTAAGACAATTGGTTGGTGTACTATCGATTGGATGATTCTGCCATCTCATTGAGAAGGAGGTCATGTACCTTCTTTTTAAATACGCACGGGTTAGTGGACATCCTGACTTCAAGCGGGAGTGTATTCCAGAGTAGAACTGCTTGAACGAAGAATAAAGAGTTCACGAAGTCGGAATTGTGGGAGGGACATAAGAGAAGCAAGGAAAAAAACCTAATAAAATCATTTATTTTAAGAAGTAAACTAAATATATTGGCAAGTCGGATGCGCTTTTAGATTCACAAGTTGGAACTGGGTGTGCATGTAAAGTGTATAATTTTTCGCGCCATTTGCCAATGAAGGCGAGACATGCAGCATGCGAACAAGATGGCGCCAGTACAGACGAACGTGATTCCGCTGTCTTCCAATAAAGTTTGTGTAATGTACCTAAAATATTTTCAAATTATAACTCCTTGATTTGTACTTCAATTAAATCTTGATAACGTTCGTCGAATCGTATAAATACAGGCATAGAATTTATTGAGTAATTCAGGTTGAAGATTGGATCTAAAGCGGTAGTTAACGCGAAGACAAACAGTTTCTCATCAATGCCCAGACGGTACGTTCTGTAAACACTTGTCTAAAATTATAAAGTATTATGACGAATTTACTTTTAAAAAAAACCTAAATCGGCGAAACAGAAATTTCAGAGTTATCCGTAATCGCAAATAAGAAAAAGAAGACGAATTAACAACCTTCTTCCTCTTTGAAGTCAGTTACAAATCAAAAACTCTTTGTTCATAAATAGAAATACGAGTAGAATGCACGTTTGAGCAAATGTAGTTTTATCTTCCTATTTTACGTTTTGTTTCTGACCTTGTAGTTCAGCTGTTCGCGCAGTCGACTTATCATGTTTTCATATTACAGTTATTTAAAATACGATATTTTTATGTTCATGCTACTAAAATGACAATTTAAGTCTACTCTAATACAGTCTACTCCATTCAACGTGGCAATGCTGCCAGTCTACTGGGAACGAAATATTTTAATTGTTTTGTAATTAAATATATTAACAGGCTTTTAAAGAAACTAAAAATAATCTATTTTTATTTTCTTTAAAAGCCTGTTAATATTAATGTAACCTTAATATTTTATATAAATTCTCTTAGAATATTACGCTTTTAACTTCAAAATGTGACTGTAATGGTACCAAAGGTAAAGGCAACAGAATTTAATTCACTTGAAATGAAACTTCTACAACGCTTTTAGATGCGAAGCCTTTCGAAATAGAAGCACCATCAACGTTAGCATTTCTGTTGCTATAGCAACCGTACTTTCCACTTACACCTATTTTATGGCGAAATAAATACAAGAATGCTGGAAGAGAAACATTGAGGATAGAGCAAGCACTTTACGTTACATGAAAAGCATAAAATACGGGATCATTTTATAGTTTCAATTTATGCATTGACGGGGTAAAAGTGTTTCAATTTAAAATGTTTTGTTAAATTGGTATAGGTTCGCGTAAAAGAAGATTTTAAATTCAGTTACTTATACGTAAATTAGTTCTGGTAACATAATATGATACCGATATTTTCTATTATGATATATATATATATATTATGAGATAGATATATTATGAGAAGAATTATACAAGTACTATATACGAGTACAATACTTTACATTAATAATAGCTTTTGCTCTCGGCTCTGTCCTCATGAATTTCGGTTATCGCGGTAAAAAGTAGTCTTATGTCCTTCCTCAACAATCAATGTGTCTCCATGCCAAATCATCTCAGTGTCACATACAGACAGACAGGGATTACTAATAAATAGACCAATTATATTTGTTTATGTAAAAATGTGTCCGTGTGGTGACGGATTAAGAATACAGAGTGTCACCACCCCTATTCATCCCGTGGGTGTCTTAAGAGACGACTAAGGGAGAAAACTACCCAGAACAACAGCACTGCAGAGAGAAGGGAAACTTGACACAAAGCCTATACCAACCCGTCTGGCCAGCGTGGTATAGTAGGCCAAAACCTCCTTTCTAAGGAGAGGCTTATGTCCAGCAGTGGACTATTAAAGGCTGTTGATGATGATGTAAAAATGCAAATATCTGTAACAGCCAAATAGAACTTTGAAGTATTTTAAAACAAAATATATGAGCATGAAAAAGCATAAATAAAATGGATTCAGACACAGAGACTTTATTAACTGCGGCTTTACGGCCACTGCGCCCCACTCAGACACTACAAAGAGGCTGCTACGCTGAGGCTTCTTTTGAAAGCTGACGGAACGTCGTTTTGAGCAGGAATACCCTTATTAGAGCTGAATAAAATCAATAGTCTCTCCCTCTCACCTTAATGAAGGCCGCATGAATGCTTATTACCCGCGGTGCTGACTTCCAGAAAGGTTTAATAGAATATTGGATTCTGCTTCATCAGGTCTCCGACGAACAAATTAAGATATACAATGGCATAGATTAAGGATTAACTTTTCATTTCGGTGTTTTATTCTACAAAGGAGTTAACAACATCTAAAAACTTACATAATATATAAGTTTTTTAAATTTCATTACCACATATTTGCACAGTCCAAGTTAGGCTATTCTCAGAAATTAGTCAAAACTGGTCTTGCTATACCATAAAAAATCAGACAACCGAGTTATACTAATAATAACTTAATAATAAAATTTTATCTCACTGAGCAAAGATATGAACTCCTGCTTTAAAAAACCTTATAAACAGACTTGCCAGACTTTAAAAATATTTATGAATGGAAATTCTTCATAACTCAGCTTTGTACAAAGTATGAAAAATTACTATTATCAGTTCTACTTTATATAATATATAAATTTGATTTGTGCAGGTTTACTTTAATACATAACGCATTTGGATTGTCGGAAGTAGAAAGAGCACATCAAATTGTAATTCGTTTCAAATAACTGGACGTTGGTTATAAAATTAAAAAATAAATCACAGAAACAAATTTATTTATTGATAATTTTAAAGAATTAAGTTATTAATGTAGATCAGCATTTCAAACGTTCCTTCAGGCTAATTTAGTAAAATATATGATGGTGCTTTTAAATTACTTTAAGAAAATCGTACTAGTATTAATAAAGTAGTTTAAACAAAATCTGAAAACTACTAAACTCAGGGAGAGGGGGCCGATTGCCAACGCTGTCGAATTTAGGCTGCGGGTAGTTATCATGGTGTGAAAAAATAACATCTTTTTTCCTACGCGGGAATCCCCCCTGATACCACTGTGGTGATTATGTCGGACACGAACCAA